TGAAGTCCACATCCCTATGTGGAGGTAATCCTAGTAGTTCATCTAGAAAAACATCCTCATACTCACAAACCACCCGAGGTAGACCCAACTCATGTCTCACCTCATCCTCCAAAGTAAGGCTCGCAAGCCAACTCATCAACTGCTCGTGCCATCGAGAATCGTACACTGCTTGGGGTAAAACATCATGCTTTTCCCCTAGAACTTGAAACAAACCCCCTCCAGAGTAAAAGCAATGACCCTCTTATGATCACAATCAATAACAACACGGTGTGCCGTCAACCTGTCCATACCAAGGATAACATCAAACTCTGACATGTCCATGACTCTAAGGTCCACAGTGAGTAGAATCCCTGAAATCTCTAGCTCATAACCCCGATATATCTAATCAACTCTCACCCTAGCTCCTAGGGGGAACTTACATGCAATGGCTCTTCCAAGGTCTCAACCTCTAAGCCCAAGTCTTCCACACAAGATGCAACAATAAAAGAATGTCACGCACCAGAATCAAACAATACTCTAGCCTATAAGCGAGAGAGTAGAAATGTACCCTGTATCACCGACGAATCTATCGGCTCAGCCTATGGTATCATGGCATAGACACACCCCTGGGTCCCCGAAGTATCGGCCTATGAGCCCTATCCCCGACCTCGACCCATGCCCTGGCCCATCTGGCCTGCTTGTGGAGTCCCCACACGTAAAGTAGTGGGGTCTTGTTCAGTGCCCTGGTACTGATAATGGCTCCCTTGGCCTATGGTAGGGTCGGGAGGAATAGAGTGCGTCGGTGAGTACCCCACTGAAGACTGGGACTAGGATCCCTGTCACTGGGGACAATCTTTCCTCACGTGGCCCGGCTGATGACAATGATAACAAGTCTTTTAACCTGCTTGATACATAGTCCTGAAGTTTCTCCTGCCTCGAGAGGACTGACCTTGGCCTTGGCCTTGATAGCCGCAGCCCTGCCCTTGATGCCCCTGCGGAGCAGAAGTCCTCTGCTTCTTCCCTGCACTAGAAGAAGAGGATTGACCCTCATTCTTCTTATCTTTCACACCCACCTCCCGGATGTTTCGTGCATCATCCACCTCTCTTTCAATGGCCATTGCTATGGCGACCATTAAGTCCAAGTCTTGCAAAAGAAGACTCAAAATCTTACCTCGAATGGACAACTTCAAGCCATCTTTGAACTTCCTCACTTTGGCCATATCTGTGGCCACATAATCATCAGCGAAATGTGCTAATTCCGTGAACTTAGCCACGTATTCCATCACTGACATCATTCCTTGTCTGAGGTCTAGGAACTCCCGGGCCTTTCCATGTCTAGCAGTTGCTGGAAAATATTTGCTCATAAAGAGCTCCTTGAACTCTGCCCAAGTCATGGTCTCCAAATTCCTTGAGTCCTTGACCCAATCCCACCACACCTGGGATTCTCCTCCTAGTTGAAAAGTAGCTAGCATTATCTTCGTGGCATCGGTGGTAATCTCCATAGCCCTTAAGATCTTGTCCATTTGTCTAAACTAATGGTCAGCCACCATAAGATCCGCCCCTCCCAGAAAGATCGGAGGATTATGTGCCTTGAATTTTTGGAGGTGACTTGAACCTCCTTGACTCCCACTTGCACCTGTTTGTGCAATAGTAGCGGCCGTGGCACTAGCTTGTGCAATGGTAGCCGCCGCCGCACCAATAGCCTCCATGAAGGCTTGTTGGTTAAAGGTTGGTGGTAGTGGTTCGTTGTTCTGTCCACCCCGACGTCCCCTTCCTCTAGTTGCCATCTACACGCACATAAGATAGCAATAGATTATTTAGTTGCCATCTACACACACATAAGATAACAATAGATCAATTACTTAATATCCCAAGTTAGGGATCAAGTATTTAAACTTGGAGATTTTTCTCCTTGTTTCACTAGTAGTGCGTGTGCCACCTACTAGTAGACATTTACAAATAGAACTATACTGTTCATTCCTTTTTCCGAACCCAAGGTTAGGTTTTCTAACCCTAGTGTTTCTCTTTTCCATATGTCTTTTACCATGCATACAATTCACATAACACATNACTAGACATTTACAAACAGAACTATACTGTTCATTCCTTTTTCCGAACCCAAGGTTAGGTTTTCTAACCCTAGTGTTTCTCTTTTCCATATGCCTTTTACCATGCATACAATTCACATAACACATAGCACATAATCATGTAGCAAAATTTAGCACATAACATGAAATGCACAATGAATGCAATGGTCTAAACCCATGCCCATCAAGCCCTAGGTAAATCGTATATTTATGCTCTGATACCAAGCTGTGACACCCCAAAATTTGGGGATCCATTCAACAACCATCAACCCGCGAAATACCCTTGGATACCGAGTAACTCGATATCACGCAGTTATGCCCCATTTACCAGGGTCCTTAATTTAACAAAAATTCAGGCAGAGTCTCCTTTGTACGGGAGCTTTACCCAAAACACAACCTGTGCAATATACCACATAACTGCACATGTAGTAGCCCACATAATGAACCTCATATAAGCCACAAAACAGCCCCCATATAGGTCACCAAAATAGCCCCTATATAGGCCATAAAAACAACCACAAATTCAAATACAAAATAGGCCCTAAAACAGCCCCAAAACATGCCATTTAACAGTCTCAAAACAGTCCATATAATGGCCCCTAAAACAGCCCCAAAATAGTCCATGTTCAATCACATAATAGTCCACATTTCAACCATATAACAGTCCATATTTCAGCCACAAAATAGGCCATAAAATAGGCGCAATTTCAGCCACAAAATAGGCCCAAAATAGGCCATAAAACAGTCCCAAATTCAGTCCAAAATACAACCACATAGCAGTCCATATGTTAACCCAAAATGGTCCATCATTTCAACCCCAAAATAGTCGATAACAGTCCATAGTTGTAGCCCCTAAACCGACCCAAAAACAGCCCCAAATGAGAGGAATAAAACCATGGTAAGAAGAACCCTACCTCAATAGAAGTGTAGAGAACTTCTATAACACCAAAACAACCTCAAAGCATTGATTTTTCTCAAAGCCTCCTCTTGGATCTTCGGTGAAACCCACTCTTTTTGGTACGTACGTGTAGCCCTCATCAAGGAGATGAATTTTAGCTCTTGGTCCAAGTTGATCCGAGCGACGGAACTTCAAAGATCTGAGGTAGAAAATTTGAAGAACTTCAAGTTTTTCTTCTCTTTTCTTTCCACTCTATGGCCGGCCAAACAAGACTCAAAATGGGTGAGAAAATATCTGATTTTTCAGATATTTGCCCCTATTTATACCCTCTTAATGTGTGGTCCAAATTGCACCGCCTAATTCTGACTTTCAGATCCATTTTTCATCCCGAAATGATTCATTATATCTTGGATTAAGTTCAAATTAATTTTATTTAAAATTTTATTCAACTATAAGGAAATTTTATAAATTTCTTTTTTGGGGACCTTTGAAAGGTCATTTGTCATCCAATTGTCTCGTAAAATGTGTAAAATTCGATTATCTTAAAATTCGACGAAAATTGACAAGACAGCTCGATTTCGTGATACAAATTCAACGGTGAGCTCTATTGTATCGTACGAGCTCTAGAAAAATATAGATTTTAAACCCGCATTATAGTGACAAATTACCATTTTGCCCTTTTTTCAAAAAAACAAAAGAGAAAAAATTTAATTTTTTCCCGGGTTTTACAAACTAGCCTTAGAAGAATTGTGCATGTACTAATCAAACAAAAAGAATAACTTCTCATGAACGTGGCTGAACTCAAATGATTCATCACCATAAAGCTTCTTATAGGAAAATTCCATAAACTGAATTTTATAACGAGGATCAAATATCACCGCAATAGCCAAAATCAAGCTATACTCTGACCAATACTTATCAAATTTCCCAAACATCTGATGTGCCATCCTCCTCATGAAAACATCCGAACTTTTCATCTCTTCACTTAAATTAAGCTGAATCAAGAAAACTTCTGGAAAGTACAAATTTGAGGTAGGATACTTGGAACCATAAAAAACACAAGTAGCATCATAGAAAGATTCTAAGAACCTACAAATGTTTTGCACTCTATCCCATTCTTCTTGAGTTGGACAATGTCTAAAATTAGAATCACTTAGCTGCAAATGACAAAATGCACGACGATAGTAAATAACACTTGCAAGCATGAGATAGGTTGAATTCCACCTAGTTGGAACATCTTGCCTCAAAGCTCTCTTACTATCCAAAGATGTTTGTGCAACACATTCCAAGAAATTATTCTTCCTAACTTGAGATCCCTTTACATATTTCACACATTCCCGGATCTTTTCAACAACTTCACCTATTTCCTTCAAACCTTCTTGAACTATCAAATTCAAAATATGAGCACAACAACGAATATGGAATAAACTACCATCACACAACAATGCATCTTGCAGATTAAGTTGATTTTTAAGCAAATCAACCAACACATCATTTGCAGCTGCGTTGTCTAAACTAAGTGAAACTAGTTTTTTCTCAATACCCCAACTATTTAACAAACTATAAATCTTCTCACACAAAGCAACTCCAGTATGGGGAGGAGGCATGTAAGAGAAATTCAGAATTCTCTATTTCAACACCCAATCTTTATCAATTTAGTGTTCAGTGAGACTCAAGTAACCATCAGTAACAATAGAAGTCCACAAGTCAGAAGTCAAACAAATCTTACTAGGCAAGTCTTGCAGTTCTTGAGAAATCCTCCTTTTCACTATAGCATACATTTTCATAACTTCCACCCTAGTAGTATTCCTAGAAATTTGTATGACTTGGGGACATAAGTAGGTGAAAAGACTTCTAATGCCACCATACTCAACAAATTGAAATGGAAGTTCACGTCTAACAATTGCACAAATCAATAACTCTTTAAACTTCCCTGCGTCAAATTTAAAAGACCTAGATCCCAAAGCACCATTGGATTGGGTTATAAGTAGTTGACCAATATCATAGGTGGTTCGCTTCAAACAACTTGCAGTGTGTCACTTGAAATTTTCAGTGCTGTGCTTACTATCAACATTATAAACTTGCTTACATTTCTTGCATTCGTATCTCAGCAATCCTTCTGGACTTGGTTCTTTAAGAAAAGTATAGTTTCTCCATACTTTTGAGGTGAACCTTCGTTGATGTTTATTTGTTGGTTTATCAATAGCATCCAGCTCTAGCCTATCTTGAATATCAAAAGCATGATTTATTTCAGCCATGACAACATCATTAGTAACAGGGGCAGGTCCATCAATGTGTTCGTCATTCAATGGAAATGAATTCATCTGTTCCCAACACAAAAGCCAAGAAAAAAAAATATGTAAGCAAAATATATAACACACATACAAAGCAGTACATTTTTGGTCTAAATACAAAAAACATTACACAAACTTCAAATAAAACTTGTAACGTAAAGTAAAGAAAAATGAGTTAAGGGGAAATACTACACAGCCAAACGAATGTATGAGTGTTGTGTGCTGTAATTCAAATCTAACTGTTCTACATTTCGATTGAGCCACAACACGTAGAGAGAGAGAGAGAGAGAGAGAGAACACAACGACACACAGAGAGAGAAGGAAAAACCTTTTCGATTGAGCAATGGTGAAGGCATGAACGACAAGGGCTTGAACAGTGAGCCCTCCTCTACTCCTCCAGACAAAGCAACGAGCGACGGCTGAGAGTGAAAAGGGGAAAAAGGGGAAAAGTGGGAGTGGGTTAGGGTTAAGTTTTTTTTTTGTTGTTTTTATATATTTGGATAAATGGGTTAAATGGGTAAGAAATGGGTAGGTTGGGTTCGAGTTGAATTATATTAACCTGTTTAAAATATACGGGTTAATCAGGTCAAAATTAGGTTGACCTGATTTCGACATGAACCCAACCTGCTTTTTTTTGNCCTAATTCTGACTTTCAGATCCATTTTTCGTCCCGAAATGATTCATTATATCTTGGATTAAGTTCAAATTAATTTTATTTAAAATTTTATTCAACTATAAGGAAATTTTATAAATTTCTTTTTTGGGGACCTTTGAAAGGTCATTTGTCATCCAATTGTCTCGTAAAATGTGTAAAATTCGATTATCTTAAAATTCGACGAAAATTGACAAGACAGCTCGATTTCGTGATACGAATTCAACGGTGAGCTCTATTGTATCGTACGAGCTCTAGAAAAATATAGATTTTAAACCCGCATTATAGTGACAAATTACCATTTTGCCCTTTTTTCAAAAAAACAAAAGAGAAAAAATTTAATTTTTTCCCGGGTTTTACAAACTAGCCTTAGAAGAATTGTGCATGTACTAATCAAACAAAAAGAATAACTTCTCATGAACGTGGCTGAACTCAAATGATTCATCACCATAAAGCTTCTTATAGGAAAATTCCATAAACTGAATTTTATAACGAGGATCAAATATCACCGCAATAGCCAAAATCAAGCTATACTCTGACCAATACTTATCAAATTTCCCAAACATCTGATGTGCCATCCTCCTCATGAAAACATCCGAACTTTTCATCTCTTCACTTAAATTAAGCTGAATCAAGAAAACTTCTGGAAAGTACAAATTTGAGGTAGGATACTTGGAACCATAAAAAACACAAGTAGCATCATAGAAAGATTCTAAGAACCTACAAATGTTTTGCACTCTATCCCATTCTTCTTGAGTTGGACAATGTCTAAAATTAGAATCACTTAGCTGCAAATGACAAAATGCACGACGATAGTAAATAACACTTGCAAGCATGAGATAGGTTGAATTCCACCTAGTTGGAACATCTTGCCTCAAAGCTCTCTTACTATCCAAAGATGTTTGTGCAACACATTCCAAGAAATTATTCTTCCTAACTTGAGATCCCTTTACATATTTCACACATTCCCGGATCTTTTCAACAACTTCACCTATTTCCTTCAAACCTTCTTGAACTATCAAATTCAAAATATGAGCACAACAACGAATATGGAATAAACTACCATCACACAACAATGCATCTTGCAGATTAAGTTGATTTTTAAGCAAATCAACCAACACATCATTTGCAGCTGCGTTGTCTAAACTAAGTGAAACTAGTTTTTTCTCAATACCCCAACTATTTAACAAACTATAAATCTTCTCACACAAAGCAACTCCAGTATGGGGAGGAGGCATGTAAGAGAAATTCAGAATTCTCTATTTCAACACCCAATCTTTATCAATTTAGTGTTCAGTGAGACTCAAGTAACCATCAGTAACAATAGAAGTCCACAAGTCAGAAGTCAAACAAATCTTACTAGGCAAGTCTTGCAGTTCTTGAGAAATCCTCCTTTTCACTATAGCATACATTTTCATAACTTCCACCCTAGTAGTATTCCTAGAAATTTGTATGACTTGGGGACATAAGTAGGTGAAAAGACTTCTAATGCCACCATACTCAACAAATTGAAATGGAAGTTCACGTCTAACAATTGCACAAATCAATAACTCTTTAAACTTCCCTGCGTCAAATTTAAAAGACCTAGATCCCAAAGCACCATTGGATTGGGTTATAAGTAGTTGACCAATATCATAGGTGGTTCGCTTCAAACAACTTGCAGTGTGTCACTTGAAATTTTCAGTGCTGTGCTTACTATCAACATTATAAACTTGCTTACATTTCTTGCATTCGTATCTCAGCAATCCTTCTGGACTTGGTTCTTTAAGAAAAGTATAGTTTCTCCATACTTTTGAGGTGAACCTTCGTTGATGTTTATTTGTTGGTTTATCAATAGCATCCAGCTCTAGCCTATCTTGAATATCAAAAGCATGATTTATTTCAGCCATGACAACATCATTAGTAACAGGGGCAGGTCCATCAATGTGTTCGTCATTCAATGGAAATGAATTCATCTGTTCCCAACACAAAAGCCAAGAAAAAAAAATATGTAAGCAAAATATATAACACACATACAAAGCAGTACATTTTTGGTCTAAATACAAAAAACATTACACAAACTTCAAATAAAACTTGTAACGTAAAGTAAAGAAAAATGAGTTAAGGGGAAATACTACACAGCCAAACGAATGTATGAGTGCTGTGTGCTGTAATTCAAATCTAACTGTACTACATTTCGATTGAGCCACAACACGTAGAGAGAGAGAGAGAGAGAACACAACGACACACAGAGAGAGAAGGAAAAACCTTTTCGATTGAGCAATGGTGAAGGCATGAACGACAAGGGCTTGAACAGTGAGCCCTCCTCTACTCCTCCAGACAAAGCAACGAGCGACGGCTGAGAGTGAAAAGGGGAAAAAGGGGAAAAGTGGGAGTGGGTTAGGGTTAAGTTTTTTTTTTGTTGTTTTTATATATTTGGATAAATGGGTTAAATGGGTAAGAAATGGGTAGGTTGGGTTCGAGTTGAATTATATTAACCTGTTTAAAATATACGGGTTAATCAGGTCAAAATTAGGTTGACCTGATTTCGACATGAACCCAACCTGCTTTTTTTTGTGTTTATACGTGTTGACCCGTTTTTATCCATTAACTCATTTAATTTTGTGTTCGACCCATTTATTTCGTGTTCGGTTCGTGTCGTGTAAACGTGTTGTGTCAAAAATTGACAGTCCTATGCATACTTACCAAAGATCTTGAGTTCCACCAAGATCTCAAAGATGAAATTTTTGGGATCAAAGCTTGGAAGCTAGATTTGCATCTTTTGGAGCTTCTACTACACATATACATGCAACAAGAGGCAGGATTCCTTTGCTAACTAGATTTATTTCCAACCTAGGGTTGAAATATGAAATGGGCAGGGTGTTAGAGAATAGAAATGGGTACAAAAATATGTTTAAACAAATCTTGCATGATTGGGTTTTGATGAACTTGCTTGGTAGTACATTTCATGGATAATGTGACATTTCATATGCATCTAGGTCGTAGAGTAACCTACTTAGGAGATACCATATTAAGCGTGACTCACCTTTTATGAGAACATATTTCAGGTGTGCTATGGACAGGCCTCACTTGGGCCCTTGTTCATAAAGGAGCCAAAATGTGGCTCTTAAATTGAAGTTTTGTAATCAAATATGTAATTTGTGTTAAACTTGTAAATTTGTATAAAGGGGACATGTAATGAACTCTTTTGGATAATATTTTGATGTAAATGAATGAATGGATGAATATGGTATGAGTTTGGAAGAGATGAGTTGAAGATTGGAAAGTTTTGGGGATAATCTAGGCTAAAGTACCGGTATCTAAGCGATTAAGTATCAGTACCACACTGTCGAATGACCTAGGTACCGGTACTTAAGCTTACAAGCACTAGTACCTAAATTCTAGTGGGCTCAGATACCGGTACCAAGGCTTAGGTATTGGTACCCCGACGGACAGTGGGCTCAGGTACTAGTACCAAGGCTTAGGAACTAGTACCCTAATGGATAGTGGGCTCAAGTACTGGTACCTGACAAATAGAAGGCCCAGATACCAATACCACTTAGACGAGGTACCGGTACCTCCTCTCAAAACTTGAAATTTTAAAATGTAACACAGAGGGGGCATTCACATTTTTGAACGACCCCTATGGACGATGTCAATGGATAATAATAAGTCCGAACTACTGGGATTTGGACCTTGAAATGGTCATATGGTTGATATGTGTATATGTTATGCATTGGGTAGTGCTTTGGTACAAGGAATACTCTACCCAAACTTTGTTTTGGTAACGATCCAAATGAAGGGAATTTGATGACGTGGTGTCAAGTTATACGATATACACAGGTACTTCCGCGGGTTGATGGGTGGNAGCAACTCCAGTATGGGGAGGAGGCATGTAAGAGAAATTCAGAATTCTCTATTTCAACACCCAATCTTTATCAATTTAGTGTTCAGTGAGACTCAAGTAACCATCAGTAACAATAGAAGTCCACAAGTCAGAAGTCAAACAAATCTTACTAGGCAAGTCTTGCAGTTCTTGAGAAATCCTCCTTTTCACTATAGCATACATTTTCATAACTTCCACCCTAGTAGTATTCCTAGAAATTTGTATGACTTGGGGACATAAGTAGGTGAAAAGACTTCTAATGCCACCATACTCAACAAATTGAAATGGAAGTTCACGTCTAACAATTGCACAAATCAATAACTCTTTAAACTTCCCTGCGTCAAATTTAAAAGACCTAGATCCCAAAGCACCATTGGATTGGGTTATAAGTAGTTGACCAATATCATAGGTGGTTCGCTTCAAACAACTTGCAGTGTGTCACTTGAAATTTTCAGTGCTGTGCTTACTATCAACATTATAAANACTTGCAGCGTGTCACTTGAAATTTTCAGTGCTGTGCTTACTATCAACATTATAAACTTGCTTACATTTCTTGCATTCGTATCTCAGCAATCCTTCTGGACTTGGTTCTTTAAGAAAAGTATAGTTTCTCCATACTTTTGAGGTGAACCTTCGTTGATGTTTATTTGTTGGTTTATCAATAGCATCCAGCTCTAGCCTATCTTGAATATCAAAAGCATGATTTATTTCAGCCATGACAACATCATTAGTAACAGGGGCAGGTCCATCAATGTGTTCGTCATTCAATGGAAATGAATTCATCTGTTCCCAACACAAAAGCCAAGAAAAAAAAATATGTAAGCAAAATATATAACACACATACAAAGCAGTACATTTTTGGTCTAAATACAAAAAACATTACACAAACTTCAAATAAAACTTGTAACGTAAAGTAAAGAAAAATGAGTTAAGGGGAAATACTACACAGCCAAACGAATGTATGAGTGCTGTGTGCTGTAATTCAAATCTAACTGTACTACATTTCGATTGAGCCACAACACGTAGAGAGAGAGAGAGAGAGAACACAACGACACACAGAGAGAGAAGGAAAAACCTTTTNGTTGTGTGCTGTAATTCAAATCTAACTGTTCTACATTTCGATTGAGCCACAACACGTAGAGAGAGAGAGAGAGAGAGAGAGAACACAACGACACACAGAGAGAGAAGGAAAAACCTTTTCGATTGAGCAATGGTGAAGGCATGAACGACAAGGGCTTGAACAGTGAGCCCTCCTCTACTCCTCCAGACAAAGCAACGAGCGACGGCTGAGAGTGAAAAGGGGAAAAAGGGGAAAAGTGGGAGTGGGTTAGGGTTAAGTTTTTTTTTTGTTGTTTTTATATATTTGGATAAATGGGTTAAATGGGTAAGAAATGGGTAGGTTGGGTTCGAGTTGAATTATATTAACCTGTTTAAAATATACGGGTTAATCAGGTCAAAATTAGGTTGACCTGATTTCGACATGAACCCAACCTGCTTTTTTTTGTGTTTATACGTGTTGACCCGTTTTTATCCATTAACTCATTTAATTTTGTGTTCGACCCATTTATTTCGTGTTCGGTTCGTGTCGTGTAAACGTGTTGTGTCAAAAATTGACAGTCCTATGCATACTTACCAAAGATCTTGAGTTCCACCAAGATCTCAAAGATGAAATTTTTGGGATCAAAGCTTGGAAGCTAGATTTGCATCTTTTGGAGCTTCTACTACACATATACATGCAACAAGAGGCAGGATTCCTTTGCTAACTAGATTTATTTCCAACCTAGGGTTGAAATATGAAATGGGCAGGGTGTTAGAGAATAGAAATGGGTACAAAAATATGTTTAAACAAATCTTGCATGATTGGGTTTTGATGAACTTGCTTGGTAGTACATTTCATGGATAATGTGACATTTCATATGCATCTAGGTCGTAGAGTAACCTACTTAGGAGATACCATATTAAGCGTGACTCACCTTTTATGAGAACATATTTCAGGTGTGCTATGGACAGGCCTCACTTGGGCCCTTGTTCATAAAGGAGCCAAAATGTGGCTCTTAAATTGAAGTTTTGTAATCAAATATGTAATTTGTGTTAAACTTGTAAATTTGTATAAAGGGGACATGTAATGAACTCTTTTGGATAATATTTTGATGTAAATGAATGAATGGATGAATATGGTATGAGTTTGGAAGAGATGAGTTGAAGATTGGAAAGTTTTGGGGATAATCTAGGCTAAAGTACCGGTATCTAAGCGATTAAGTATCAGTACCACACTGTCGAATGACCTAGGTACCGGTACTTAAGCTTACAAGCACTAGTACCTAAATTCTAGTGGGCTCAGATATCGGTACCAAGGCTTAGGTATTGGTACCCCGACGGACAGTGGGCTCAGGTACTAGTACCAAGGCTTAGGAACTAGTACCCTAATGGATAGTGGGCTCAAGTACTGGTACCTGACAAATAGAAGGCCCAGATACCAATACCACTTAGACGAGGTACCGGTACCTCCTCTCAAAACTTGAAATTTTAAAATGTAACACAGAGGGGGCATTCACATTTTTGAACGACCCCTATGGACGATGTCAATGGATAATAATAAGTCCGAACTACTGGGATTTGGACCTTGAAATGGTCATATGGTTGATATGTGTATATGTTATGCATTGGGTAGTGCTTTGGTACAAGGAATACTCTACCCAAACTTTGTTTTGGTAACGATCCAAATGAAGGGAATTTGATGACGTGGTGTCAAGTTATACGATATACACAGGTACTTCCGCGGGTTGATGGGTGATCAATGTGTTGAGAAAGGACCCCTGGATTTTGGGCTGTCACATATATGATAAACAATAAAGAAACAAGTGATTTCTTAGCATGGAAACCCTCTTTGGGAAAAATCGTGAGGAATCTTCTCAGTTCACCAATAGCCTAATCCACTACTCGCTAAGTCAACACAAGTACTTAAGTCATATACCTCAACTAATACCACTGTTAGATGCTCCTTTCCTTATTGTCTCTCCATAAAAGACCTTCCTTAAACATCTGGAGTAGCTTTACTTGGACCTTCCCACTGCACGATTTGTCTAGGCCTCACAAAATTATGGGCACCCCAACGATTCCTAGTATGCACACACCAATGGGTTTGGTTTACATCATGAAAATCTTTAACACCAAGTTGTGAAGTTAGGTAGAATCTCTAGTGGTGGCTTTTGGATTTAGGGATCTAGGTTAGTTGTAGAAGCTCTCAAGGTAGCAGAAATATTTTCTCTTTTAAAAATTTCACAAGAGGCCTACCTTAGCTATGTGAAAGGCCCTCCCTATTTATAGGTCTAGAATTAGGGTAGTCTTAGTAAATAAGAAAACTCATATTCGCGAACAATTGCTCAACCAATGGGAGGGCAGTTGGTAGCGGAATGAAAATCACATTTCCACCCAGTCCAAGAGCAACATCGCTCGAGAGGGGTTCGATAATGGCTCAATCTATGTTTTCAAAACACAAAATGGTTTAAAAAATCTTTTCTTTTGAAATCACCAAGGAGCCATACGCGGATTTCTTTCGATTCCATTTTCATCCTAATCATCTTAAGTTGCAAAATAAATAAGGGTGCATCTTAGGTGTCTATGTCATTACCTTTGTTCTACGCATGAAGGTGTCTATCTTCAATGAACCTTTCGGATCTTCAACTTGATAGCATCATGACCATGAAAAATATTAATATTTACCATAGACTTCATGAAATTAGCCAATTACAAAATATGATCTAACAATCTCCCCCTTTAGCAATTTCGTGACAAAATACACAAGTTAGAAATTAAGATTAGAACTCACAAACTATTGAATAAAATGAATTATAAATATAATTTCAACTCTCCTGTACATGTCGTATATATCTATCTAAGCACAAGATCTACTTCTTTAAATGAAAATTGAAGATCGTAGTCCTACACATCACCACTCAAAGCAAAATCTCATAAAAAGCATCTTATGTTATAGAAATACATAACATAATATAGATTTGGAAAGTACCAAGTTAAGCATAGGGTAAGTATGTATATTATGGAAGTGCAAATATGTGACATGTTAAGAATAACTTTTCCAATATGTTTAAGAACCTACTGATCTATCAATATGAAACACTACAAATTCTCCCCCTTAGTTGGTGTTCACAAGTAAAATAACAAGTGAAAAATAAACAAAGTGTAAAATACGTGACTTCATGCAAAGTTCGTAAATTTACTACCCATGAGTATTTCAAAAAACTCCCCTTTTTATTTTCACATGCAACATATCTAGCCTAGTCAAGAGTAAATCTTCCTGATTCCTCTCATATGTACCTAAAATATTCTCCCCTTTTTTGTCAAAAATGCCAACCCAATGACAACATGGAACAAGGATGCTACATAGTCAAGTTACCCAACATATTCTTATCTTATTTGTTGTAAATGTCAACCCAATGCCAACATATAACAATCATGACATATAATCATAGTATAACAAGAAGGTATAAATTCACATCAACTAAGCCAAATCATTCAAGTAAAATAAGCAAGGGCCAAACAAGACATATCACTCAAAGTCAACTATGATAAGATTAGGACTAAGAGTATGTCACAACAAACAAAAATTAACTAAACAAACAAAAGTAAATAACTTGGAAAAGTCAAAAATAAAAATAAAAATAAAGAGTACTTTAGTATAGGCCACAAATGAATATAAAAACACTCTCAACCACACATATGACCTACACTACAAGTCTCTAAAAATAACTGCTCAAATGGTTGTAAGCACATTCCAAAAAGAAAATTGGGGTGATTCGGACTCCTTCTTAGAAGTGCAGTAGGTGAAAAGTAGTGATTGGATAGCCTGAGGGATTCAATCATGTGTTCTCAATGGCTCTTAATTACTCCTTAGCCTAAAAGAACATATAGGGGTATATGTACAACCTATATGCTACTATATCCACATGCATGGGTGAATTTAGATAAAAATTAATACAATTTTCAATTTTAAACGTTAATGCTCAAAATTCATAGTCATGAAAATTACACAAATTCACATTTTAATGGATCCATCTAGAATTCATCATCACGATACATTACTCTAAGGCATATTTAAGAATATAAAACTCAATTTCATGCATCTTATAGTAATATTTCTTCACTTTGTTCAATTTCTTTGACAATGTTAAAATTTTGTTCAACTAAGACTAATTCAAGTGCATTGTGTGTGAAACCAACCTCTAACACAAAAAAGATTTTGCTTAGTTTAAATCATTAATAAGTGATTAGCACAAAATATTTCACATTATGTATGCTTTTATACCCTTTTATACTTGCTTTGTGGTGAAAATGGGAGGAAATGCAATTAAGCAAACAATTAAGGAAGTTGTTATGTGATTACAGGTAAAGAGTTGGAAATGGCTTGAGTTAAGCCCCCATCGTAGTGCTCAAAATCAATGGAGATGAGGGGTGGCTTAAAGGGAGGCTTAGAAGGTGAAGAAATCAAGAAAAAGGCGAATCTGGTGAAAACCTTCTGGAAGGTTTGCACATTGAACTACCTATGCCCCTGCCAAAATCTTCTGGATGGTTTTGCACACTGGAAGAAGACCTTTCGGAAGGCAGCCACAGACACACTACATTCCTCCCTACCCTACTATGGGCCAGGGCATGGGTCAAGGCCGAGGGCAAGACTTAAAGGCCGGGACTTTAGGGACCCAAGAGAGTATTTATGCCATTACGCCTCAGAATAAGCTGATGGATCAGTCGGTAGCCCACGGTACATT